TCAGTGGTGATGGCTCCCAGTACCCAGGGCAAGCGGAGAAGGGAGAGCCAGGAAAGGAGGCCTTGGGGACCTACCCAAATGCAGGCTGAGCCCCTGGGACAGAGCCAGGTGCCAAGGACTTGGAGAGAGGCAGAGGGGCACCCCCTTGAGTCTTCGGTCTGAGGGGCAGACCCAGCCTCAGCCTCAGGATGCCTCTGGAGGACAGAGAAGGTGCAGCCCCTGTGCACACACCCGGTTCACGCCCCTGCGCTCAGAGAGGCCCCTGTCTGTCAGGGAGACCAGCCCCAGGCCTGGAGAGCCCTCCCATCTGAAGGATCGGCTCAGCATGGCCTCAGGGTCCCCAGTCTGACGGCAGAGACAGGACCACAGGCGTCTCTCGGACAGAAGATAGGGCATTTGAAGAGACAGGATTAGATCTCAAAAACCTTTATAGATAATAGAGTTGTAGCTGCTCCATCTCCCTCTAAGTTCCCACGGGGTAAGTGGGCCTCCTTCGCTGCTCTCCCCTGCCCCCAAGAAGAAAGCCAGCTTGAGTGTAAGTGCTCAGCTCCCCCAGGGAACCTCCATCCTTCCCATTCCCTCCGTCCACCGCCCTGATGTCCCAGTCTCCCCCCAGCCAGCTGGGACACCCTCCTACGTATTATATCGCAACGGGGACACTGCCACATGGCCAACGCTGTAGGCCACTAGCCAGAGCTGGGGTTCAAATGGCTGCACCCCACCCTCTCCCACCAGAGTAGCCTATTGTCTTTGAGAGTGTCTTCCTTCCCCAGCTAGTGCCACCCTCCCCAAGTCTGCCCTCCCTGAGGGCACCCTTTCTGAGGACACCAGCAAAAGAAATGCAGGGGGGATAGGAGGGTGGAAGAATGCTGGGCCTTGGGCCCAAAGGGAGGAGGGGGAAGTACAAAGGGGGCACTTAAGGCACCTATCCGTGGGCAGGCTCCAGACAGCGCTGGATATACCCAAATGTTAATCACCAATTAGCACAGTTCAGGTGGAAAGGGAAACTTTATTGCGTGTAAAATGGACTTAATGTGGCAGGAGCTGTGGGCTTAATTTCTTGAGATAAGATGCTTTTAGGCTAATCAGAGGGTCTGCGGGGCCTGGATATAAAGGAGGCAGGGTGGGCAGAAGTCACTGAGGCAAGCTCCGCCGGGCCAGAGCAAGAGGAAGAGACCCGCTGCCCTTCTGGGAGCCTGGAAAGGACAACTGGTAAGAGAGCAGCTGGGACAGGGGCGCTGGAGGGAGGTGGCCCTGGGACCCCAAGGGGCTCAGCACCCTGGCACCCCATTGCTTTTCCTCCCCATAGGAAATAAGACGGGGGTGCGGATGGCCCTTTTAGCCCAGGTGACGAAGGCAGGGTGGCGAGGTCTTGCAGCCGCACACGTCTAGCCTCGCTTTGGTTTTGAGGGCCTGGGAGGAAGGTGACTTACTGTTCTTCCTGAATGGATGACCCCCACGCCCCTGCCCCGGACGAAGCCAGGGGCCAGGCCTGGGTAGAGTGGTCAGACCTCAGAAAGAACTTCCCTGGGCGGAGAGAGTGAGGTCGGAGAAGGCAGAAGGGGATGGCTCCTCGTGTGGTTTTCACTTCGGGCGAGAGGGTTGTGATGATTTAGGTGACAAGCCCGTTTGAGAGCCGGGAGGCTGGCTGGTATGAACTCTGGAGGGCTCCAAGGGGAGAATCCTGCCAAACCACATGCCTATGATGTCTAGCCACGGAGCCGGGAAGGGGGGCTGTCCAGGCACACAGGTCCCGCTGCTTTCTCCTGCCTGGAGCACCCCCCACCCCCCGCCCCTCAGACTCCACTTAAACACAAAACAAAAAGAAGGCTCACCTCTCGGCCAGACTCCTTGTTCCTTCTAGTTACTACCTGTACTGCCCATGCCCGCCCCACCCTCCCTAAGATCCCGCTCCGGCCTCTTAGAAAAACTCCAAGCCACAGGACTCCGTGCCCCCCAGCTTTCAGCACCCCCACGGCTCTGAGGCATGCTGACTGCTCCCTCACACCGTGCTCCCCCCTCATCCTCCTCCTGCTCTCTCTTAGCTCAGGAATAACCCTTGGAAGACGGTGGCCATGAAGATCTCTCTGCTGCTGGTGTCCCTGCTCCTGGCAGCGGTGCTAGGAGACAAGGAAGAGAGTCCTGCCAGGTGGGGAGAGGAGGGAGGGGCCGCTGCTGAGGAGTGGGCTGGGGGAGGACAGGGCTCTGGTCGGGGCGGCCTGAGAAAGGAAGGAATCCTGGGCCGAGAGGAAAGAAGCTCCAGGGGAAAACCTGCCACCAGCCGCCTGAGTGCAGAGCGAGGGCAGAAGCAGAGAGATTTCTCAGGAGCTACTGGTTAGGCCTCTGGAAGGCCTCTGAGCATCTGAAGCGGATGACATCTCCCTTCACCATTCATTCAGGCGAGCCCTGCTCACCTAACTTGATAAAGGACCGACCCCGCCCCGACCCCCCCACCCCCACCCCGAGTACAGGTGCAGGAGATACATGTGCAGGGTGGTCCACAAAGCCCTCCTGCCCTCAGGGCGCACACAGGGCCAAAGGGAAAACAGATGAAGAACTACCGAGGCGAGCTGCAAACTGTCATGAGTTCTGTGAGGAAAAGCTGAGAGTGCGAGGAATGAGCACAGTGGGGGCTCTGTGTTTTGGGGACCCAGAGAGACCTATCTCAGGAAAGAGTCGGGCGTTCTTGGGTGCAAGGACAGCTCCATGCTCACGTAAATCCAGTGACGTAAGTCTGAGGCACGGCTGTCAGAGACATGTACAGGGAGAGACATCACGCAGAAGCTAAGAACGCAGACCTGGGCCCAGACCGCCTGGGGGGGACCCTGGATCTGCCGCCTACGCTGTGTGCGAAATTAATCTCTCTGTTCCCTGGTTTCCTCATTCACAAGAAGGGGGTATGGCTAGCGTCTGCCTGCTAGGGGTGTTGTGAGGACTGAATGAGTGTATGTATTAAAGGGCTATTCGAGGCCCTGCCTCATGCATAAGGGCTCACTACTATCAGTAGTGACTGGGAACCAAAGACCTAAACCAGGTGTGGCCAGGGCGAGAGGAGCCAAGGAAGGCACTGGGAGCCAGTCCTTGGGGATCAGGGGCCCTCTGATCCCTCTTCGCCCAGAAGCCAGAGCCACACACACTAACGATGCAGGAAGCGGCCTTTCAGCTGGAAATAAAGTCCAACGGGCTCAAGGCAGAGCCAAGAGGGTGTCTCCACAGAAACAGACTCCCCGGAAATGGGCTGGTTCATTTTTACATGTTGGCCTCCTGTCAGCGACAGTCATGTATGCCGGGATGGTGAACCCCCTCAACCCCGCCCCTTCATGGCACCCTGGTTTCTCTCTCTCCCCTCCCTGGCCCTCAGAGTCCACGCGAAGGTCAGAGGCTCTACACCTCGCGGCCGCAGGTATGCCGAGGGGACTTTCATCAGTGACTACAGCATCGCCATGGACAAGATCCGCCAACAAGACTTTGTGGACTGGCTGCTGGCACAGAAGGGGAAGAAGAATGAGTGAGTCATCGCGCAAGCCCCTCCTGTCCCCAGCCTCCGGCTCCCTTCCTGCGTTCAGACCAGGCGCCATCGTGGCCCCACAGGGCCCTGCGATGCACAACCCCAGGTGGCGCCTCTCACTGAGGCGACGATAGGGAGCTGGACCGCGTGGCGGCCCTGCTTTGGGCAGCTGTCCAGTGTGGGGGCAGGACCAGGGCAACTTCGCAATCCTTTCCTCCTGAGGGGAAGGGTCGGTGAAGATGTGCGGGGCTCACCGAGCATTCCCAGGAGGCCGGGGATGGAGGCAGGGGAAGCTGAGCCGCTGCCAATGACTTTCTGGTGGTGGCCTCTGCAGACTTTGGAAACAGAATAAACTGTCCTCGTCCTACTTCCTTCTCTTTGCCAAATCTCTCCCTGCCCTTGCTGTTTGGTCAGCCTGGTAGATTCTGGAAAGCTGTTCACCAGCAGCTGAAGGCAAGCGATCAGGAGGTTGAGGGAAGAAAGAGGTACCCTCTGTTCTGCCACCCACTCCCTAATCCTTATCTTACCAGCTGGAAACACAACATCACTCAGAGGGAGGCCCAGGCCCTAGAGCTGGCCCATCAATCTAACAGGAAGAAGGCGGCCAGGGAGCAGCAGGGGTGAGTCAGCCCACAGGGGAAGGAGGGTGTGGGGCCTCCTGACCCACCCCCACCTCATTGTTCCCTCTCCCAGGCTCCAGAGCAGGGCCAGGCCCCAGATAAGCAGCCCCTTCCACTCCGAGTTCAAAGAGGGGTCTCCGCTGAACTCTTGGAGGTCAGCCTGAGCTTCAGGGAGAAGCCTGGGTGGAATGGAGGCGGGGTGCCTGGGAGGGGTGTGGGGGCCCGGGTTTCTAAGATTGATGACGGGAGAGGGGCAGCGAAAGAGACCTCAGGAACCGGCTTCCCCACTTCTCCCTGCCACACACCAGGAAGGACGTTTGTAGAACTGGGACCATCCTGTCCCACGGCCAGTCCCCTAAAGTCAGTAACCCCCCTCTGAGGAAGCTGAGGAATCTGTGCCACAGATCATTATGAAGAGCCAATGTCCCCCAAATAATCTCTTGGGGGTTCGGACTGCATTCTGGGATACCTGTAGAGGTGGAGGGTGGGATGGCTCCCACCAGAATTCTGTTGGGCTTTGCCTGTATTGAAGATTGGCAGGCAGATTGTGTTGGAGTTTTAAAAGCTGAGGTAACCCAGAGGCAGCTGTGTTGACTCCCTCCCCACCTCCCTCCCTTGGAGTCCCCCCCCCTCCCGTGTTTACCCTCTCTGGGTGGGGCCAGGCTGAGGCAGCCTGCCTGAGGCTGTCTCCTTTGCAGCTCCCTACCCATGAAGCCCGGTGATGAAGATCTGCTGAAGGACTTACTGATTCAAGAGCTGCTGGCCTGGATGGTGGATCACACGGAGCTCTGCAGGCTCAGGTGGCAGGGACGGGAGGCTTTAGGAGTCTTGCGTACTGGTTGTAAGCTTGAGTATTGGGGTCCGACACAGGTTCAAATCTTCATCCCAACATATGCTGGCCAATTCTCAGACTCTCTGAACTTCGTTGTTTTCATGAAAATCGGGACTATTTAAACCACTTCATGGGGCTGCTGTGGGTTTTAAATAAGAGGACGTAAGGGAAAAGTTGAGAGCAACCTCTGTAGGTAGTAAGAGTTCAGTGATGGTGGCAGCTATTGTTACTGCTTGCCCTCCTTTCTCAACCTCCTCCAAGTGAGATGCTGCTCTCCCCTCCCCTGCCCACCCCAGCTGACCTGCCCATCCTACCCTCCGCTCTCCCTCTGTACCCTTGTGCCGTGGCACCTTCCCAGGGATGGAGCCCCTAGAGTGGGAGGCATGGTGCCCTTCTCCGTAGCTGCTGCTGGTCTCAGTGGTCCTTGCATCCATATCACTATTAGGAAGTCCCTCAACCTATTATGTCCTAGAAGAAAGGGACAGCTGACACCATGGAGAGACCCATCCACCTAAAGGGTGAGACAGGACACTCATTCCAAGTGCAGACACACAGGCACAAAAACCAAAAGACATTTAGACCAGCGGTCGCCAACCTTTCGGACCTCGTGGACCACTGTCCACCGGCTGGTGACCGCTGGTTTGGACTTCCATGCTGGGCGGCGAGGGAAGGACTGAGGGGACAAATGTGGGAGGACTCCCTAAGGAGGATAAGAAGGGGGAGAGGACTGTGACTGCAGCGATAGAGGAGAGGGGGTGAGAACATCTCCGTGGGGCGGTGGGCAACAGGCTCCGTGCTTTTTGAACCGTTTTGATTATTTATAATCAAAAAGGTACTTGGGAGGGAGGAGCAGCTGAACTATGGCTGGGTGCCAGGACAAATTTACTCTGCTGACTCCAAGCTGATAACCACCCTCCTCCCTGCCCTCTCTACGCTCCACAGGTTTCAGTGACTCTGACTAAACCCAGCTCAGGACTGGACCCTGCCCTTCACTGACTCAGCTCCTGGGTACCCTAGACGAGCCAAACCAATAAAGTTTAAGCTGAAATAAATCTTTGTGCCCATTGTCAAAATATATTCAAATGTCTATTGAGCACCGACAGTGTATGCTTGTCTGTGTGCCGCGCACCACCCAAGAAAAAGAAGCTATGGCTCTGACCCACCTGCTAATTCATCTATTTATTCTACAAACACTTATGGGAAACTTAACATCAGCAGGGCTGTGCTCAACAAGGGTCTACAGCAGGGGTCCTCAAACTACGGCCTGCGGGCCACATGCAAATACAAATATTGTATTTGTTCCCGTTTTGTTTTTTTACTTCAAAATAAGATATGTGCAGCATGCATAGGAATTGTTCATAGTTTTCTTTTAAACTATAGTCTGGCCCTCCAACAGTCTGAGGGACAGTGAACTGGCCCCCGGTTTAAAAAGTTTGAGGACCCCTGGTCTACAGCAATGAGGGAAACAGATACAGTCCTTGTCCCCGTGAGGGGTTTCCAGTCTAGTGAGGAAGACAGACCTTAATCTTTAAACACACAAACACAACAATCACGTAGCAGGCTAAGTTCTGTGAGGGTGAGGTTGCTAGGAGAGAGGACAGAGGAACCTTATCTAGGTGGAGCCAGGAGGGCCTCTGGGAGAAAATGACATTTAAGCTGAATAAGACCAAGGATGGGTGGGGCCTTCACATTAGCCAGAGTTATCAGTACTGCAACGTGGGCAATGGGAGGAGGAGGACAAGCAGGTGTCGGCAGGTGGGCGGAGGCAGGGCCTGAAGGACCACGGTAAAGCTTTCAGATTTTATCCTCAGTGCAGGGATAGGTCCGAGAAGGATTCTAAACAGGGTCAGGTCACAGAGGATCTATTCGCATCCCAAAAAGGATCACACTGATGAAAGTAAGAGTTATATTGAGATGAATAGGAATGAAAGGGGAAGAGGAAGACCAGTAAAGAGGCTCTTGCAGGATTCCAGGTTTATACTAGGGTGGTGGTGGTGGTGGTGGTGGGGGTAGCGGGGGTGGCAAAATGGGCAAACTCAATTTACCCAAAAGTCAATACCTTTATCTCCCGTGTTTAGAGCCTTCCCCACCTCAGCCTGCCGCCGTCTCCAATGCCCTGCATCCACAGATATGATGTACCTCCTCTCCCTCGCTTGGGTCACCTTTTCCTGGAATGTCCTCCTCGATCTAGTCATAGGTCAGTAGACCAGAGTCAAACACACCCAGATTCAAAGCACTTACCAGCTCTGTGAGTTAGCAAGTCAGTTTCTCGTTCTTAAACTCAGTTTCCTGTCTGTAAAAAAGATGAAAAAGTATCCACCCAAATAGGGTTAAAGTAAGTGTTAAGATCATGCCTGGCACAAAGTAAGTGGTCCATAAAAGTTAACTTTTGTTATTGTTACTCACACACCTAAGCCTTAGTTTAAAGGGTATTAATTTAAATCAGGGAGTGGCGAGCTGGATGGCTAAAGGTCTGGGCCAGTAACATAAATGAGCAACGTGAGGAGGGTGCAAGACAGTGATGGCGAACCTCTGACACGCGTGTCAGAGGTGACACGCGAACTCATTTTTTTGGTTGATTTTTCTTTGTTAAATGGCATTTAAATATATAAAATACAAAAAAGATGACCCAGTTATTAAAAAAAAAAAAAATCTCTCTATGTGACACGGCACCAGAGTTAAGTTAGGGTTTTTCAAAATGCTGACTCGCCGAGCTCAAAAGGTTCGCCATCACTGGTGTAAGACAACAGCAAGGATGGGGACTGTGAAAATGGAAGAGACACGTTCGCCTAAAATCTTTCTGGTGCCAAATAAAACTTTTTTGAGAGCTGAATTTGCCTGAGCACTGCTAGTTTAGTTTGCTATCTCGCCCATATTTGGTTTCCTCTCTATAAACTCCTGAGGTCCCAAGAATGTGTACCACCCATATTAGAGCATGCCTTTGTTCAGAGGATGTCTTTCAGTGGCTCTCCATGACGGTATTGATTGTCTTGGGGAGAAGTTTGGATCTATATTTCTGAATTCTTGGGTGTCTCTTGGAATCAGTACATCAGAAAGGGTTATTTTAAAATATTTTATGCAATGCTCTTGCTATGGGGCAGGCATTGTGCGCAGTCTCCTATAAACATTTTTTCAACTTTTTAAAATTTATTCTTTTCTTTTTTTAAAACATATTTTATTGATTTTTTCCAGAGAGGAAGGGAGAGAGATAGAGAGTTAGAAACATCGATGAGAGAGAAACATTGATCAGCTGCCTCCTGCACATCTCCCACTGGGGATTCGCCCGCAACCCAGGTACATGCCCTTGACCGGAATCGAACCCGGGACCCCTCAGTCCGCAGGCCGACGCTCCATCCACTGAGCCAAACCGGTTTTGGCTAAAATTTATTCTTTTTAAAAAATTATTTATTTACCTATTTTAGAGAGAGAGAAAAAGAGGGAGGGAGGGAGAGAAAAATCATTTTGTTGCTCTGCGTATTTATGCATTCATTGGTTGATTCTTGTAGATACTCTGACCGGGGATCGAACTCACAACCTAGGCTGACACTCTAACCAACTGAGCTACTCAGTCAGGGCTGTAGTTTTTTTTATTATTTTGTTGTTGTTCAAATTTATAAACATCATTTTAAAAAGTCACGATGATCTCATTTAAAGCCTCATCACAACCCTTGAATACCATAACAGCTGCTAACCATGCACTACACTGCCTCCATGAGGCCGGGAATTAAAAGCCTACGCTACCAGCCACCTTGCCACGAGGCCAGTGAGTCACTTACAGCAGGTGAGGGCGTCTGTCACAATCAGTATTCACGGTGTACTGTAGCCGAGTGCTTCGGAGAGCCACTGTTAAACTGTCAGGAATTTTGAGAGCAGGCTGTAAAACCACTGGTCGCTTGAAATTGGCCATGGTTAGGGGATTTGTACCATGGCGATCGGCAAATACTATATACATCAGAGCCTCCCTTCCCACCTGGAGAGGCTGTTAAACACTAGCATATTACTGGTCAGCATCCCTTCTCTAAAAGTATAAAGGAGAACACATGTGTACGAATAAGGGGATAAGCATATCTGCCTGAGGATGGCAATGAGGTTTGTCAAGAGTCCATGTCCGTATCTAAAGGAGTGAATGTGAATATGTGCATTTGAGGATATGAATAGTGAAATCTAAGGTCAAGGGTGTGAGTGAGGGGTCAGTGTGTGCACCTTCAGGGGTCATACAGTGTGAGTCAAAAAGTGATAAATGAGTCTGGCCGAATTTTCTCAATGGTTAGGGTCCTGGTTGCAGGCTCCATCCCTGGCACATGCGGGAGGCAACCCATTGATGGTTTTCTCCCACATCCTTGTTTCCTCTCTCTCTCCCCCTCTCCTTCCTCCCCTCCACTCTCTTAAAAAAAAAAATCAATGGAAAAAATATCCTTGGGTGAGGATTAAAAAAAAAAAAAGTGATAAATGAAGGTGTGTCTAGCTGGTGTCAATGGGTACCTAAAGATCACATTTTTGTGTTAGGGAAATGAGTAGGAAAGTGAGGATATGAGGTCAGTGTATCAGTTTGGGACTAGTGGGTTTTTCACAGAAAAGGGGTGGGTAGGTATATTGGAGGTCAGTGTGTGTGTGTGTGTGGCGGGGGGGGGGGGCGGGGGGGGAGTCTGAAAAAGCTAGTATCTGTTGAAGGGGACCAATATGCGTCTGAGAAAGGTTGTGTCTAAAGGGGCCATGCTATCTAAGCTTAGTGTCTGAGGATGTGTCTGAGAATGAATCTGAAAGATAATTATGAAAGGCTGATGATTGTTTTAGCCCTGGTCCGTGCATCCGTTAAGACTGTATTCGGCTTCAAATAACAGAAAAACACAAAATAACAGTGGCTTTAGCAAGATAGAAAATTATCTCTTTCTTGTAAGCAGCCCAAGGCTGGTGTTACAACTCTGCTCCACGAAACCCGCAGGGACCCAGGCTCATAGGACCCACAGCTCCATCATCTCTTAAGGCTGCAAACGGCAACGAAACATCTTGCTACCCGTCTCTGCGCCATCCTCTTATCCTTTTCCTAGAAACCCCTCCAATGACATCATTCACTTTGGTTTCACCTGGATCTGATTCCCAGCCCAACTTTTTCTGTGGAGCTTCATACAGAAATAA